AAGAAAGAAGGAGAAAGAGGAGGAGGAGGAGGAGAAGCCGAGGAGTGGGCCGGGAGGGGCCGCGGGGAAAGCCTAAAAACCCGGGGGGCGGGACCTGCCCCGCCGCCGTGGACACAGCCGCGCCTTGTAGGGACAAGCCCCGAGAAGGACTCACCAAGGGGGAGGGGGAGAGGGAAGGCACGGAGGGAGGCCCACGCGAGGACAGGCGCCCCTCCTCCCACGAAGAAAAGGGGCCCGGCTGGATAGCCTTTAGGGCCCCCTTCCCTCCAAGAGATCCAGGAAGCCGGGAGGGAAGGGGCCACTCTGGAATCCGTTGGTTTATAGAGCTCCAAGGGAACTCTAAGGGGCATCTAGTCCAACCCCCTTCCTCCAGGCAGGGACAACAACAACAACAATGTTCTTTCTTTCTGTCCAGGCTCTCTTCAGGGCTGGAAGTAGGGTGCAATATTGCTGAAACACAGTCATCTGAACATGAGGAAGAACTTCCTGACTGTGGGAGCCGTTCAGCAGTGGAACTCTCTGCCCCGGGAGTGTGGTGGAGGCTCCTTCTTTGGAAGCTTTTAAGCAGAGGCTGGATGGCCATCTGTCAGGGGTGATTTGAATGCAATATTCCTGCTTCTTGGCAGAATGGGGTTGGACTGGATGATGGCCCAGGAGGTCTCTTCCAACTCTTTGATTCTATGATTCTAGGATGATTCATGAAGGCACCACCCAAGCCCTCCCGGCAGATGGCCATTCAGCCTCCTTTTCAGCACCTCTAGGGGTGGGATCCTAGAACTCTATAGTTCAGGCCTGGGCCAACTTGGGCCCTCACTCCCTCCCTCTCTCCCTCCCTCCAGGTCTTTTGGACTTCAACTGCTCTTCGAAAAACCCACTCTTTGCAAAACTGTCCCAGTAGTGACATTGTTTATTTATTCTCCACTAGCCATCCCCTGCCACGCCTTGCTGTGGCCCACTCTGGTGGTCATGGGGGTTCTGTGTGGGAAGTTTGGCCCAATTCTATCATTGGTGAGGTTCAGAATGCTCTGTGATTGTAGGTGAACTATAAATCCCAGCAACTAGAACTCCCAAATGTCAAGATTCTATTTTCCCCATACTCCACCAGTGTCCACATCTGGACATATTGAGTCTTCATGTAGTTTGGTTCAGATCCATCATTGTTTGAGTCCACAGTGCTCTCTGGGTGTAGGTGAACTACAACTCCCAAACTCAAGGTCAATGCCCACCAAACCCTTCCAGTATTTTCTGTTGGTCATGGGAGAACTGCGTGCCAAGTTTGGTTCAATTCCATCATTGGTGGGGTTCAGAATGCTCTTTGATTGTAGGTGAACTATAAATCCCAGCAACTACAGCTCCCAAATGACAAAATCATTTTTTTTGAGTGAAGGACATACATTGAGTTGTTAGGTATCTTGTGTCCAAATTTGGTGTCAGTTCGTCCAGTGGTTTTTGAGTTCTGTTAATTCCACAAATGAACATTACATATTTATTTATATAGACATGTTGTGTTGTATGCTTGAGGCCAAACCCAGAACTCTCTGCCTTCAAGCTGATCTGACCTGCAGCAGGGAGTTCCACAGTTCTCCAATGCCCCGCTTGGGCCAACCGCATGAACGTGGCCACAGCAGCAGCTGCAACTCGGAAGCCTTCTCATTTCTTTGCTTTTTCTACTTCCTAACATTGTAACTGTTGTTGTTCATTCGTTCAGTCGTCTCCGACTCTTCGTGACCTCATGGACCAGCCCAGCCAGAGCTCCCTGTCGGCCGTCACCACCCCCAGCTCCTTCAAGGTCAGTCCAGTCACTTCAAGGATGCCATCCATCCATCTTGCCCTTGGTGGGCCCCTCTTCCTTTTACCTTCCACTTTCCCCATCATAATTGTCTTAACATTGTAACTAATCCCCCCAATAAAAAGTATCAATTAGTTGTAACTTTTCCCTTTCCATAGTGTTACTTTGTGTCCCTTTACTGCCTCAAACCTCTTTTTCCATAAATCTTTCTTCTCCCGGGCTGCAGATGCGTGCCGGCCCTCCTGGGATGCGATTTTCACGTTCCGGGGAGGCTGAAACTGCGTTCCCTTAAACCGCGGATACGGAAACCACCTCGGGGCCCCCGTATCCACGGGTCAACAGATCGCTTCAAAAATGGTGTCATTCTTCTCCTGGGAGAATTCTAAGACTAATGGCTATCTCGGTTTTGCTCTGCTGCCCCCTCCGCCCCAGGAATAACCTTATTTATTTATTTATTTATTTATGGTACTTCTACCCCACCCTTCTCAACCCTCGGGGGGGGCGGGGGGGGACTCAGGGTGGCTTACGAAAAGGCAGGATTCGATGCCTACACAAGATATACATACATACAAAACAGCAGTTAAAACAATTAGCGAATTAAAATAATCAGTACATAACACAATCAGTAAAACTAATCTCATGTTCAGCGTTCAGGGTTCCATAGTTCCATTCCGTTTTGTCAATTCCTGTCCATTGTGAAGTCCTTTCTTTAGCTGCCAGAATGTCCGAATGCCTGGTCCCAAATCCAAGTTTTCTGTTTTTTCCTAAAGGAAAGGAGTGATGTCGCTTATCTAATTTCCCCAGGGAGTGAATTCTATAGGTGGGGGGCCACCACTGAGAAGGCCCTGCTCCTCGTCCTGCCAATCTCACTTGTGATAGAGGTGGAGTCGAGAGCAGGCCCTCCCCAGAAGATCTTAGACTCCGAGGTGGGACGTAGAGGGAGATCTGTTCGGACAGATACGCTGGGCCAGAACCGTATAGAGTTTTGTAGGTCAAAACCAGCACTTTGAATTGTGCTCGGAACTGGATCGGCAGCCAGTGGAGCTGACATAGCAGAGGGGTGGTATGCTCCCTGTATGACGCTCCGGTGAGCAGTCTGGCTGCCTCCCGCTGGACTAGTTGGAGTTTCTGAACAGTCTTCAAAGGCAACCCCACGTAGAGTGCGTTGCAGTAATCTAATTGGGATGTAACAAGAGCGTGGACCACCGTGGCCAGATCCGGCTTTTTGTCTCCGAAACCCCAACCTGGAGCCCAGCTGTTTTTCCAAAGACGTTGCCTCGTTGCTACCATTTTGTGGATGTCCAAAGAGCCTGCTAATCTTGGGAAACTGTCACAGTCAACCCATAGGATCCCCAAGATGTCGGCGGGCCGCCTTGGTCCTTGGAGCAGAGGGATCTGTAGTTCTCTCAGTGGATCTTGATCTCCAACGCTGGCAGCCGGCTCATAAGAACTCCATGGACTCTGGGACACCTTTTCCAACTTGCCTCCCTTGCACTTTACAACTTTTATCAATTTCCTTCAACTTTCAAGAACTTTTGACAACTTTTTGGAACTTTGTCCCAAACTCCATGAACTCCCCTTCGTGGTTGCGGGGTGATATGATTTCATGATTATGAACTCTCTCTCCTTTGGACTCTGGTGGGTGGGATGGTGTATATGGAAGGCCGACCGGACTCTGTCCCCGATTCCTTCCATCAGTGCCTCATTGAGGCCGTGACTGGATGGCTGCGTGCCAGCAGGTTGAGGGTGAATCCAGCAAAGACGGAGATCCTATGGCTGTGTCAACCGGGCAGTGGGGACATCCATCTGCCCACTCTGGATGGCAAGGAGGCGCTACGCCTGTCATCGTTGATCAAGAGTCTGGACCCTCTGCTGACAATGGAGGCCCAGGTCTCTCTCCGCCGTGAGCAGAACCGCCTTCTTTCTTTCACCTGCGGCAGGCTAGACGGCTGGCCCTCTCTCTGTCCAGGGACGACCTGGCTACGGTGATCCAGGCTACAGTCATCTCCAGACTGGACTACTGTAACGCCCTCTACATTGGCCTTCCTCTGTCGGTGATCCGGAAGCTCAAGTTGGTACAAAACGCAGCTGCTCGGCTTCTTGCGGGAATTCCGATGAGATGCCACATCACCCCAGTCTTACTACAGCTGCATTGGTTACCAATTGAGCACCGGATCACTTTCAAAGTGATGGTACTCACCTTGAAGGCCTTGCATGGTCTGGGGCCGATGTACCTGAGGGACCGCCTCACCCCCTACCAACCCCAGAGATCCCTCCGTTCTGAGGACCAAGATCTATTGGAAGTCCCCAGTGTCAAGACCTTGCGTCTAACGGCAACCAGACGCAGAGCCTTCACAGCAGTGGCGCCATCAGTCTGGAATGCTCTGCCACCTGAAGTTCGTGCCCTGCGGGACTTACCAGCTTTCCGCAGGGCATGTAAGACATACCTGTTCCGACAGGCTTTTAATGTTTGATACTGTTGTTTTTAAATTGTTTTGAATTGCTTTTAAATTGTGTTAGATTTTAGCCATTCTTGTAAGCCGCCCCGAGCCCCAGGGAAGGGAGTGGCCCCATGGAAGTTTGAATAATACATAAATAAATAAATATATGAAACTCCTTTGGCTTCATTATCCCTTATGTATCTCCCCTGGACTTTATAAATGCACAGCAGAGGAGCACCAGTAGCCCAAAGTGGTAAGAGAACAACAACACTCAATTCAAAGTGCTGGTTTTGACCTTTAAAACCCTAAACGGTTCTGGCCCAACTTATCTATCCGAACGTATCTCAGCCTATCAGCCCACCAGGACCCTAAGATCTTCTGGAGAGTCCCTGCTCTCTATCCCACCGGCTTCCCAAGCGCGGCTGGTGGGAACGAGAGACAGGGCCTTTTCTGTGGTGGCCCCTCGGCTTTGGAACACCCTCCCTATAGAGATACGATCTGCCTCTTCGCTGATGGCTTTTCGGAAGACACTAAAAACTTGGTTGTTTAAACAAGCATTCGGTTAGTCTGTTATTACCGAACTTTGCTGACTAAGGACTGGTTAATTATGGATGACGAACTCTGGATTGGTGATTTTATTGACGAGATGCATGGTATTATTATTGGTGGCCCAATAATCTGTATTGTCTATGTGTTGTTGTTTTAAATTGTATATTGTTTTTAATTGCTGTAAACCGCAATGAGTCGCCGACTTAGGCTGAGATATTAGC